CCCTCACATTTTTTGTTCATATTTTCAGCTTTCGTTTCCACTTCCTGCACTTTATCAGCTACTACATTCAAAGAGTCAGCAAGCATTTTGACAAGCTCTTCTATTTTTCCAACCATTTCTTCCTTAAACTCTTTCATCAAGTCATCAGTAAATTGCCGCACTTTTAACATAAGCTTTTCAGTATAATCATCAAGCACTTTTTGTAATTTTTGAAAAGTGAGGAAGGGAGTAGATGTGGGGGGAGGAGATTTAGATATCTGCGATGAGGGTTGCAAAGATGAAAGTACAGTTGTTTTAATTAATTTTGGAATAGCAGAAGGTCCAGTCCTCTTAGAAGCCATTATATATTTCTTTTAAATAGTCCTTTAAATCAAAAATCCTAAGTCAAGTCAGAGGAAAAAAAGAATCCACAAAGTCCGTCCTCACTATACCAAAGGAAAAGTGGAGATTTTTCTTTGTTGCAAAAAAACAACTGCCGCGGCCATTTTCCTCCTCACTTTCACTTTGACGAATGGGGGAGATCTCTTTGATCTTCCAGAGTTAAATTTAAAATTAAAACCCTGTTAAGTCCATTTTCCTGTTCAGCACCGGCTGTCAAGTACTCACAAAAAAAAGAACATCTTCTGAAAGCAGCAGCGAGCGCGATTTCTTGTCTCGCGCACGGCGAGGTCTGCCCGGGGTGCGGAGATGGCTCCGGACTCCGGCGGGGCTCTCATCCAAATTCCTCAAGGAACTTGGGGAGCTCAACACCTATCCGGAGCGGCTCCCCCACCTCCTTTAGCCCAGGAGGTGAGTTTCAAGCCGCCCGACAGGTGATTTATGCTGTCGGCACGGCTCTAACGCAGCCCCGGGAGGGAGACTTCAAAGGAAGCCTCCGACGAAGTCCCACCCGTTGCTTCTTGTCCTGCCTTCAGGCGCTTTGGAAAATAGCTTGACTCCCTCTCCTTTGTGGCAGCCCCTGAGATATTGGAACACTGCTATCATGTCCTCCCTCGTCCTTCTCTTCGTTAAACTAGACATGCCCAATTCCAGCAACCATTCCTTATATGTTTTAGCCTCCAGTCCCTTAATCATCTTTGTTGCTCTTCTCTGTACTCTTTCTAGAGTCTCAACATCTTTTTTACATCGTGGTGACCAAAACTGGATGCAGTATTCTAAGTATGACCTTACCAAGGCATTGTAAAGTGGTATTAATACTTCACGTGATCTTGATTCTATCCCTCTGTTGATGTAGCGTAGCACTGTGTTGGCTTTTTTGGCAGCTGCAGCACACTGCTGGCTCATATTTAAATGATTATCCACTAGGACTTCGAGATCCCTCTCATAGTTACTACTATTGAGCAAGGTACCCCCTATACTATACCTGTACATTTGGTTTTTCTTGCCTAAATGTAGAACCTTACTTTTTTCACCACTGAATTTCATTTTGTTAGATAGCGTCCAGTGTTCAAGTCTGTCCAGATACTCTTGTATCCTAAAGCCTCTTGTATCCTAAAGCCTGTCTTCTGGAGTGTTGGCTATTCCTGCCAGTTTGGTGTCGTCTGCAAATTTGATGAGTTCCCCATCTATCCCCTTGTCCAGATCGTTGATGAAGATGTTGAAGAGCACTGGGCCCAGAACAGAGTCCTGGGGCACCCCACTACACACTTCCCTCCATGTAGATGTGGTTCCATAGAAGGTCATGAATTTGGTTGGCAAACCTGAAATTGTTATAATGTTAGAGCAATGGGAAAATATGTGGATTAAAGGACTGAAATTTATGCTGAATTATAAATTTAATGAATATTTCCATAAAATGATGTGCCAGTGGAATTTAATGGATTACCAAAAATGTAAAAGGGTGTATGGAATGTTTATTAGAAATTTAAGTACTTTTTATCATACATTGCGGACATATTGGGAACGGATTCATAATTTAATCAGAATATTTTTTAAAAAGGACTTATAATGGAACCTGAAAACTTTTCTTCTAGGATTATTAGAGAAAGAATTGGGGGGGAAATGCAACTTTGTTGCTATATGTTGATAACATTAAGAATTTTATATGCCCAGAAGTGGAAAGAAGTTTAACTTCCACAATGGAGGAATGGATTGAAAAAAAAATGATGGAATTGGTGGAGATGATGAAGTTGACTGAATAATTAGGAACAAGAATGTAGTTTTGTGGTTACTTGGAAATTGCTTCTGGGTTTTCTGCGTGAAAGAGAAAAAAATGATTTTGCGTTTTGACGAGTGTGTTACTGCTATAAAAATGGCTAGGAGTTACTATTTGATATAAGTAAAAAGTTTGTACTATAAATTTATTATGTACCTTCTGCACCCTTACTGCATTGAAAAAACCCAGAAAAAACAAATATTTTTGGATGCACAAAAAGCTTTTGATAATCTTAACTGGCAATTTATGTTTCATCAATTGTGAGTGATGGACTTCGGTAAAAATTTTATAAATGCAATTCAAGCAATCTACAATGAACAATCAGCAAAGATACTTATAAATTGAGACTATACAGATAATTTTGAGATTAGGAAGGGTACAAGACAAGGATGTCCACTGTCTCCCTTGTTATTTATTCTTACACTGGAAGTGTTGGCCAGGAATATTAGACAAGATGGGGAGATCAAAGGACTGGAGGTAAAAGATCAGAAATATAAATTACAAGCTTTTGCAGATGATTTGGCTTTTATCTTGGAGGAGCCTTTGGAAACAGCCACTAAATTATTGCAGAAAATAGAGGAATTTGGAGAAGTGGCTGGGTTGAAAATAAATAGGGAAAAGACTAAAGTACTTACAAGAAATTTAACAGAAAAACAGAAAGCTCAATTTGTGGAAAANTTAAGATGAATATCCTACCTAAATTGTTATTTTTATTTCAGACGGTTCCTGTTAAACTAAGCCAGAAATTTTTTGATGACTTAAATGCAACAATAATGAGATTTATATGGCAAGGGAAAAAAGCAAGAATCAAAATTAAACTGCTACAAGAATCAAAAGACAGAGGGGGCTTTGGGCTCCCAGACTGGAGACTTTATTATCAAACCACTATTTTGTTGTGGCTTAAAGAATGGATCACACTGAGAAATAAACAACTTCTTTACTTAGAGGGACATGATTTGCAACTGGGTTGGCATGCTTTCCTTTGGTACGAGAAAAACAAAGTACATAAATACTTCCAAACTCATGCCATAAGGAATGTATTACTTTCAGAGTGGGAGACAGTTAAAAAGAAAATTTATATGAAAATACCTAAATGGCTTTCCACAATGGAAGCATTTGCATATCCGAATTTAATCAACTATGATAAACTTGTGGCCTATAAAGACATTTTAGATAAAGAAGGAAAACTTAAAGATAGGCAAGAACTTCAACAAACTGGCATTGATTTAACATGGTGGTCATACTTACAAATTCAAACAAGATATGAAAAAAATGTAAAAATAATGGGATTTTACAAAGAACAGACACCACTAGATAAAATACTTTTGAAAACAGATGAAAATCTGATTAAGAAACTTTATAAATTCCTGCTAAACTGGAAGATGGAAGAAGAACAAGTGAAAGAAACAATGATAGTGTGGGCAAAGAATTTTGATTATTCTATAAATTTAGAAGATTGGCAAAAACTATGGGACCGAAATATTAAATTTACTAAAGCAGCTGCATATAAGGAAAACTTATATAAAAATGTTTTATAGATGGCACATGACACCAGTTAGGTTAGAGAAAATGTTTAAAAATGTATCAAATATGTGTTGGAAATGTAAACAACAACCAGGCACTTATTACCATCTCTGGTGGATATGTCCTAATGTTAAAAAGTTTTGGTTTAAGATCCATATGGCTAGAAGAGATGATTAAAATACAGATAGAATTTAACTATATTTGTTAGGAATACGTTTGTTAGGAATATTAGGTTTGAATTATAAAAAAGAGAATGAGTATTTAATATTGTATGTGCTGACAGCCGCAAGAGTAATATTTGCCCAATTTTGGAAAAATGAAAATTTGCCATCTGACCAGGTTCGAATGTGCAGAAATGGATAGATTGACTTTAGAAATGAAAGAGAAAGACGACACAATTTACTTTAAAACATGGGGAAAATTTTATTATTGGTTAGAAACACGCTAGAATGAGAAAAGGTTATGAAATTTAAAGAGATAATTGATAATTTGTAGTTATATTCCATGATTATTTGTATGAACTTGTTATTTTTTTCTTCTTCTTCTTCTTCTTTGTATATTTGTGATCTTAAATAATATGGTAAACTATAATTAATATGTAATATATTATTATTTTAAAGTGATTATAATTAATTAATATTAAGCATTGTTAAGTAGTGAAATGAATGAGATTTATTGACTAATTTGTTATTTACATGATTATATGGAAAGTTGTTTAATAATAGAGTAATTATTAAGATTTAATATGTAAACCCAGACTGGTAGACTTGCTGAAGCGATGTTATTTTGTGGGATTAATCCCACTTTTGTGTTACCCCTTTCCCCTGGTCTAACCTTTTTGTATGTTTCCAGTTGTCTTATCCTTTTTGACCCTATCCCTTTATTACTTTTATAAAACTCAATAAAAATATTTATAAAAAAGAAAAAACCCAGAAGCTATTTTTTTTCTTTTCCCTCTTTCCTGACTATTACCTCTGTCCCCTTTCCTTCCCCCTTTTTCCATTGTCTTTATTTTTATTTCTATTTTATAGAGGAAGTCCTCGACTTACTGTATAACAGTTCATTTATTGTTTGACATTACAACAGCACTGAAAAAAGTGACTTATGACCATTTTCCCCATTTACGACTCTTGTGACAACTCCATGGTCAAAAGATGAAAATTCAAATGCTTGGCAACTGATGCATATTTCTGACGGTTGCAGTGTCCTGAAATCATGTGATCACCTTTTGCCACCTTCTGACAAGCAAAGTCAATAGGGAAGTCAGATTCATTTAATAACCATGTTACTAACTTAACTGCAATGATTCACTTAACAACTGTGGCAAGAAAGGACATAAAATGGGGCAAAACTCACTTAACCAATGTCTCACTTAGCAACATAAATTTTGGGCTCAGTTGTGGTCATAAGTTGAGAACTATCTGTATTAAGAAAAAAAACTTTTAATAAAAAATATATTCTTAAAAAACTAACGCAATAAATGCCAAATGGCAGAGAAAGGAAGGGGCGAATAGAAACCTATAACTTATATGGCATCCTACTCTGAATAATTTTTTTTTAAAGCAGCAATATTGTTTTGCTATTTTCATGCTAACAAAATATAAAACTAAGTTTTTTCCAGAGAAGTGCAAATTTCTGAGTCTGATTTGTTTTTTGTTGCCTCCCACCTGAACTTTGAAAGAGAAATTAATAGCCTGATTCAAATTTTATTCCAGAATGCAATGCCACATTTTTCAGGGATAATAAAGTGGGAAAGAGAGATAGTGAATGTTGTTAACTTTTATCCATTCAGCTCGTAGAGGAAAGACAAAAGTATAATCAGATAATAAATAAGACTGTGTAATTTCACCAAGATAGTATACTTTGTATACTATAACCGATCCAATAACAAAAAGAACCATCTAGGTCAGAGGTCTTCAAACTTGGCCTTTTTATGACTTGTGGGCTTCAACTCCCAGAATTCCTCAGCCAGCATGCCTGGCTGAGGAATTCTGGGAATTGAAGTCCACAAGTCATAAAAGGGCCAAGTTTGAAGACCTCTGATCTAGGTTGTGTGGGAAGTTAGCCCAGAGAAGGAAATATTAAAAAGGAAGAAAAAAAGATATTGTTCACCAAAAGGATTTTTAAAAGCATTTTTTGAAAAGCAGAAACCAAACCTGGCCTCATCTCTTTGCCCAAAGCAGTAGCTGGTCTTATACATATGCAGATGTGGAACCATCAGGAAGTTTGGAGCCAGGGATCTCAAGACAAAAGAAGCTCTTAAGAGTCATTAGCCCCATCACCTGGGAAGCAGGATATGATAATGGAATTAAACCACAGATATCAAGGCCTAGAAAAACACTCAGAAATAGCCTCAAAGTTCATGCAGGAACAGGAAACTACTCCAAGCAGGGCTGGGAGGGGGTATAAAAGCCCTTCTACCCATGCTGCTTCTTGCAGCCCTTCTCCTCTGCTGCTTCTTGCAAGGACTATCTTTCTTCTGCAATAAACTGTAACCTTCTTCCCAAAGCAGTCGCAATGTTTGCTTATTTATTCCCGGCTTGGATGAACCAGGATGAAGACTTACTTCTAACAGTTGTAACTGCAGAATTATTTTTTTTAAAAAAGTACTCAAATCTATTTAAAAAATGAGGCAACTCCGCACCCAAAAAAATAGCTTATGATCGTGGCAAGGAAAAACGTACAATAGTAATTTCAGAGAACAGAAACATAACGAAGTAGGAAAATAGTTTGAACAATTTAGGAAGGTTATTTCTTTAGGAAGAATCTCATTTCTCTTTACAATAAGAAAAAGAGGAAAAGGAGGAAGAAGAGCAAGCTAAACATTTCAACCTACCTTTTTTCTTCGAACTTCTCAGATTCCACTCCATTTGAACCCAACCTTTCAAAGAGTGCACAGTTTCTAACTCCCTTACAAAGCAACTGGGATAGTTCTACGCCTGCACGCACTGGCCTTTTGTTCGCCGAAGGAGCGCAGGTTTTCTAACTTCTATCAAGCCTATCAAGCCAGTTCTCCAGATTGGGTGGTTCTGCGCATGCGCGAGCCGGCCTTTTGCTCGCCGAAGGAGGAGCGCAAATTAAGATGGCAGCGTCCTTGCTGTGGTGTGGGACATATGAACCACGTTCCTTCCTATTCATATGTAAGTACTGTTCAAAGAACTTCGCTTCTTTTCCTCTATTTGCGTCATTTTCTCTCTTCCCCCCCGAGTTAGAGGCACAATCTGCACATGTATCAATTGTTCTCCAGTTCTTTATAGGTTAGTTTACAAAATCGTACGAGGATCCCTTGAATCCGGGCAGTTTCCGTCTAATTCAGTTTTGTTCTGAAATTACAGAGCCAGCGGAAAATAGTTGGCTGGGGAATCCTGGGAGTTGAAGTCCAGGCATTTTCAAGTTACCAAGTTTAAGAAACGGAGCTCTAGACGGCTTTAGGTTTCCTAACCCTGCACGGGACAGTTCTACAATCTATTTTTTTAGTTGAAGAGGCCCGGAAGTAATAATATAATTATAAATACATATATTTTAAATTTGACACAAAAAGAGTAATTGATAGCCTGTGGGATCATTCCGAATTATAACAGTCAACTTCGTTTAATACAAGGCAGGTTAGTAGATTATAAACTGAGATTAACTAAAATGGTAATGAATGTAAATCAGATGAAATAAAATGTTAGTAATAATAATAAAGTTGGAAGGGACTTTGGAGGTCATCTAGTCAAACCCCCTGCTCAGGGAGGAAATCCTATACAATTTCAAACAAATGGCTGTCCAGTCTAGGATCTTGCAGCAGCAAATGATACCTTTAATTTTTTTCCCTCTCATATATATCTGTGCGCTTGCTATATCCTGCAGGACAGTGCTTTTATCTTGTCTCTATTTTCTGTTATAATGAAAAAGGGTTGTATAACCAGGCAATTCAGTAATTTTTTTTTTTTTTTAAATTAAATGTACCAGCCTTGATTTCTAGTGGATGTGTTCACTTAGGGCACATTAGAAGATTCAGTTGCAAACTGTCTACATTTACAAAATTATCTTTTTGTAGAACACAAACTCTTATCTCTGAAAGGATAGATTTCAAGAACAATTAACTTGGGAGGTATCATTTATAGTTTTTCAATTTGTGTTTCTGTATTGGTAGACTCATACACTTTCAAGAGATGTTCTCAACATCTAAATCTACGTCTTAACTAACAAACATTCCTTTGCATTCTGTGGTACACTGCCAATATTTATTATATTTATAAGATTATAGATGAACAAATTTCATGAAAGCACAATCCCAATACAGTTATTGTATGGATATGCCTGCCATTCACATTTATTGTTTATTTTAAGTGTATTCTCATTTCCACAGGAAATTTTGCACAGTGTGTTTAGAAAATATGAAATAATGTGAAGTATATTATAATATCAGTTTGCTTATTATGTTGACTTTTGGCTACCAAATATGTTTTATTTACTTACTATAACAACACAGTTCCATGTAATCAAACCAAAGTATTAATAAAACTGATGTACATATAGCATGCAAACCTATGATATTTTGGAAAAAAGTTTTACTATTAGAAATTCTCCAAAAAGAATATCATTTTCTTAAACTAAATAAATTCCTGAGAGCTAATTATTACTGAAGATAATGGACCCGAGTTTTGCTCTTAGTGGCAAATCCCGGGGAGGGGGCGTCTGCTTTTATATAAATGACAGATGGTGTAATAATGCCAAGGTGGTTTCAAGTCTGTACTTCCCTGATGTGGAGTTTCTGACTATCAAATGCAGACCCTTCTATCTGCCTAGAGAATTCTCTGTTATCATTATCACAGCTGTGTATATCCCCCCCCCTAATGCAAACAGAGAAGAGGCCCTGAATGTTCTCTGTCATACCATCAGTTAAGCTACTCACTCAGAGGGTGCATTTATTGTAGTGGGGGACTTTAATCAAGTTGATTTGAAAACTACTCTGCCACATTTCCATCAATATGTGGACTTTGCAATTAGAGGGGTCAATACACTGGATCTTGCTTATTCCAACATCAAGAAGGCTTTCAAAGCTATTCCCCGCCCTCACCTGGGCCCCTCTGACCATCTCTCAGTGCTGCTTATTCCAGCATATAAACCTTTATTAATCAGAGTGAAACCTACAGTAAAGCAGGTGAGGGTTTGGACAGAGAGAGCTATAGAAGCATTACAAGACTGCTTTGAGTGCACGGATTGGGGCATGTTTAAAGAAGCAGCAACTGATAACCAACATATAAATGTTGAGTATGCCACCATGATGTCTGTATATATCCAAAAGTGCATAGAGGATGTCAGTGTCCAAGCATTGTTGTGAGGGCAAATGAAAATCTGTGGCTGACTTATGAGGTCCGCAAGATGCTGAAAGCATGAAATGTGGATTTTAAATCCAGCAACATGTTGGCACTTAGAATGGCCAGAGCAAATCTGAAAAGTGCCATAAAAGGTGCAAAGCAAGCCCATTGCCAGAAAATTCAGAACTTTTTTCAGGACCCAACAAACACCAGGCGAATGTGGCAAGGAATCCAGGCCATTACGGATTATAAGGTGGCTCCATTGACATGCAAGGATAACAGACTTCCTAAACGAGCTGAATACATTTTTTGGAAAATTTGAGGCATCAAATAGCACTCAAATAGTATTCAGCTAGGAAAGCTGTGCCCCATCCTGACGAGCATGTGCTTAGCTTTGATGTCACCTCTGTCTGGAAAATACTGCAGAAAGTTAACTTTCGGAAAGCAGCAGGCCCAGATAACATCCCTGGATGTGTTCTCACAAATATTTTTAATCTCTAATTGCAGCAGGCAGTTGTCCCATCATGTTTTAAGATGGCCATCATTTTGCCAGTGCCAAAAAAGTCCACAATTACAGGCCTCAATGATTACTATCTGGTTGCACTGATATCCATCTTTATGAAATGCTTTGAGAAGCTGATAAAGGACATTATTGTATCTAGCCTCCCGCCAGCATTTCACTCGCTTCAGTTTGCTTATCGACCAAATCGCTCTATGGATGATACTATTTCTTCTGTTTTCCATCTGAGCTTGAAGCACTTAGAAGAAAGTAATACACATGTGCGTTTGTTGTTTGTCAACTTCAGTTCTGCATTTAATACAATCATTCCCCAGCATCTAGTAGACAAATTGGGCCTTTTAGGCTTAAACACTCCTTTGTGCAACTGGATTCTTGATTTCTTTTTTCTTTTTGTAAAAGTTCTTACTGGTTTTTCCCCCATACATTCAGTAATAATTTTTCAACAAACGTGCTGTCTGAGTTTACATTCGCTAATACATATTTAATTCCTAATCCTTTATTCTTTCCTCTAGCCATCGATAAAATAAGTCCCAAGTTTGATAATATTCAGTTTCTTCTTTTTCTTTCAGTCTTATAGTCCAGTGATGGCGAACCTTTTAGAGACCGAGTGCCCAAACTGCAACCCAAAATCCACTTATGCATCGTCGGGTGCCGGGTGGGTGTGGCCCATTGGCTGGGTGTGGCCTATTGGGGTGTGGCCCATTTGGTGGGCGTGGCTGCGGTAGTAACGGCAGACTGGGTGGGACTAAAAAGTTCAATCAATCAATTCCAACTTTGCAAGATCTTTTTTTTTCCCGCGAGAAGTTGAAATTGACTGATTGATTGAACCTTTTTTTTTTTTTGCACACAGCAGCGGAGGCCTAAAGTTTATAAAATCCAGCTGAAGGCCTAGAACTGGGGTGATGGCGCGCGTGCCCACAGAGAGGGCTCTGAGTGCCGCCTCTGGCACCTGTGCCATAGGTTCATCACCACTGTTATAGTCAGTCTATCCATCTCTGCACATTCTAGTATTTTTTTAATTATTTCTTCATCAGATGGTATTCCTTCATTTTTCCAGTATTGCGCAAATATAATTCTTGCCACTGTTGTGACATGCAAAATCAAATATATGCTTTGTTTGTTAGTCTTTTCTGGCATTATACCTAATTAAAAAAGTTTAAAATCTACATGTTCTCCCAACATCTTTTCTAGCCAGGCATGTATCTTTTTCCAATAACTCTTTACTTTGTCACAAATCCACCAAACATGATAATAAGTGCCTGACTTATGTTTACATTTCCAACATCTATCTGACATGTTTTTGAACATTTTTGCTAATCTTGCTGTGCCGTCTATAAAACATTTTATATAAATTTTCTTTGTAGGGATTGTCATTTGCAGTTTGTAATTTCTTTCCCATAAATTTTGCCATTTTTCTAATTCTATATTGTATCCAAAGTTTTTCACCCATCTTATCATTGTTTCTTTAACTTGTTTGCTTTCCATTTTCAAAGTTAATAGAAAATTATACATTTTCTTAATTAGTTTCTCATAAGAAGTTAACAATGTTTTATCAAACACAGTTTGTTCCTTATAAAATCCATACAGTTTAACATCTTTATCATATGTACTTGCATTTGTAAATGTGCCCACCATGATAAACCATTTCTTGTTTAGATTTTAAATTCCCTTCAGAGTTTAGAATATCTCTATATGTTCAGATTTTTTCAAAGTTCACTAAATGCTTCCATTGTTGACAACCACCCTGGAATTTTCAAATATATTTTACATTTTATTTTTCCCCATGTTGTTAATGCAATTCTTATATAGTGATTTTGGAAAGGTTTATGAACTTTTGGTATGTTTTTCCAGTACCATAAAAAAGCATGCCACCCCAATTGTAAATCATGCTTCTCCAGACAACCTTATTTCTAAGAGTTATCCATTCTTTTACCCATGTTAATGCAGATGCTTAATAATATAATAATATAATATAATATATTATTATAATATAATAATAATATAAAACCCAATGCTATGTTCATTTTCACTGTAGCAATTCTTCCTAATATTGACAATTGCAAGTTTTTCCATTTTTCCAAATCCAGTCTTATTTGATTCAATAGTTTTGTATAATTTTTTTTCTTTTATCGTTTTTTTTTCTTTTATCGTTGAACATCTTGCTGTTAAATATATTCCCAGATATTTGACCTTTTTAACTATTTGCAATTCTGTTTTTTCCGACATTTGGTTTTTTTGCTTATCTGTAAGGCTTTTAACTATTACTTAGTTTTTTTCTGTTTATTTTCAGTCCTGCCATTTTTCCATATTGTTCTATCTTTCCCAAAGGTTGCTTGTAATTTATATGTTTCTCCATTATTTCTAGTCCTTTAATTTCTATATCTTGTCTAATATTTCAATTTAGAACTTCCAATTTGAAAATAAATAACAATGGAGATAATGGACATCCTTGCCTTGTGCCTTTTCTTATCTCAAAGTTCTCAGTATAGTCTCCATTCACAATCACTTTCGCTGTTTGTTTATTGTATATTGTTTTTATCATGTTTATAAAGTTCTGTCCAAAGTCCATTATTTTTAATTGCTGAATCATATATTGCCAGGAAACATTATCAAATGCTTTTTGGGCATCTAGGAATATTAGTGCCAGTTGTTTCCCTGGATGTAATTCATAATATTCCAATACATCCATTATCACTCTTAAATTATTTTTAATTTGTCTCTTTGGCAAAAATTATTTATATTTAGATCTAGTCGATCTGGTAATCCTTTGTTCTCTTCCTTGCGTAACTTGAATTCATTCAAAATATTTCATCTATCTCCATTTGCATCTCTGCTCTGTCTGCTTTCAAAGCCTCTGCCAGGAGATCAATAATCACAACTGCTATATTTTCTTCTCTGCCTTCAGGAATATTTTGAAATCTTAAGTAGTGTTCTGCTTTCTCCATTTCTAAGATTGCCACCGCTCCTTCTAGGTTTTGGTTTGCTTGTTCTAATTTTTCATTTTCTTATATTAGTACTTCCATTTTTTGGTCAATATCATCTGATTTATCCTCCATTTTCTGAATTCTTTGTTCATTTTTAACAGTCATTTGGTGGTGGACTTCAAATTGGAACGAACTACCCCCAGAGATCCGGGTGATTCCGGATCTCCCCTCCTTCCGCCGCGCCCTCAAGACATGGCTATTTCAGCTAGCCGGACTGGCCTAAGGGGTATTTTAATTTGGTTTTTAAAATAGTTTTAAAAAGAAACAGCCAATAATGAATATTTCATTTTAATCATATTTTAAAATTAGTATTATTGTATTAGTTATCTGTTTTAACTGGCTGTAAGCCGCCCTGAGTCCGTTAGGAGAAGGGCGGGGTATAAATTTGATAAATAAATAAATAAATAAATAAATTGTGTCTTTATGTCTGAGATTTGTTTGTTTAATTTATCGAAATTACTTTTTGTCTCTTAATGTTCTTTTCTATTGATTCTTGAATTAATTTTAATGTAGTTTGCATCTCATTTTGAGCAGTGCTTATTTTGCCATACTGCAACATTGTTTCAATAGATCTGTGGTTTGTTGGGCTAGATGTTCCAACAGAAGGTGCAGAGGAAGTATTTTTCATAAATCTGGTGAGATTTGATGTACTCATTTTTCCAGCCAACTATCTTAGGCTAAAATCCAAACGGTAAGAGGAGCCAGCTACTTTAGGCTAAATCCAATATCTCAAAGGAGAGAAAACAAAGTAAAAAAAGAAAAAAGAGAAAAAAGCCAACTATCTTAGGCTAAATCCAGCCCAAAAGAATGAGCCAACTACTTTAGGCCAAATCCAAAACCTCCAGCTGAGTCACAGATGTAAAATGCCCGCTGTCTCCAAGTAATTCCTGTTTTGTTTATATCCAGAGTCAACAGATATAATTGTAGAAAGTCTTTTCACTTATAATCTCACACAAAGGCACTTTTGTTTACACCAGGTGTTGTTTCAAGGTCAAACACTTTCAGGTTCTTTTATTATTTAGAATTGCTGTAGTATCTCCTTTCACCACTAGATGTCCTTGTACACTGTCAATATCTGGTTTTAAAAGATTATTACAAAGTTTTCTTTTAAATTCTTTATAGGTTATTTACCCTAGGAATTATATTTAAAAAAGTTTTTTCACATCCTGTAGGAGAGATAATCTTTCTTTGAGTCAGTCTAAATTCAATTTTTAAAAGTTCTTTTATCTTCCTTAAAATTCTTCCCCATCCTGTCATTGCTCGCCGCTTTTAACTCTCTTCTGGGGTCTTTACTTCATAGCTCTTCCCAATCAGGGTATCAACATTTCTAGGTCCAAAAGGAAAAGGAATGAAAGAGCAGGCTCACCCAGTTTCAGCACGCTGTTTAGCAAAGCGCCGCAGCTCCTCACTTTTCTTCCGGCTGGCGATGACTTACCACACAGCCTTTCCTCTGTCCTTTTGGAGGGTTTCTTCAGTCCGTCTGGACCGACTGTTGTCTGGTCCAGACTCCTGAGGCATCCCTCCTTCTTCGTTGTCCCTCCAGGGCAACTTTCCAATCCCTTGGGGTTGCCGGGCAGAATGAAGTTGGGCTAAGAAGCCGGAGCTCTGGCTTCTTCCACCCGTCTCTTCGAACACCAAACCGGAAGTCCAGGATTCTTGCTTTTCTTACTAACAGGCCCCAATAAGTGCGAGCTGGAACAAATATTTCTAACACTATTTTCTTGAGCACAGTTTCTCCTCAGGGCTGTGTCCTAGGTCCGCTGCTGTACACCCTGTTGATTCATGACTGTAGTGCTAGATTTGCCACCAACCATATGGTGAAGTTCGCAGATGATACAACAGTAGTGGGCCATATTTATGATGACAATGAGGGTGCTTACCCCAAAGAGCTTGAGGGTTTGGTGAACTGGAAAACAGCCTAGTTTTAAATACTGGAAAAGCCAAAGAGATCATTGTCAATTTCAGAAAAGGCAGGCACAGCCACACTCCTCTGTGTATGAATGATTCATCTGTGGAGATGGTTACCAGCATCAAATTCCTGGGTGTGCAGTTAACAACTAGGCTGGCTTGGTCACTCAACAGCGAGACACTGGTGAAGTGGGCACAGTAGCACCTGCATTTTCTGTGTTGCATGAAAAAAACACATCTTCCTTCCCCTGTCCTCTTACTACTTTCTACAGAGGGACAATTGAAAACATCCTATCATACAGCATAACAGTCTGGTTTGGAAGCTTCACTGCTTCAAACAGGAAGGCGCTGCAGAGAGTGGTGAGGATGGCTGAAAAGATTATTGGCAGTTCCCTCCCATCCAGGACATAGCACAGAAGCGTTGCTTGAACAGGGTCCGTAAGATTGTCTGGGACACTACACATCCTCTTCATGACCTGTTTTCCTTGTTACCTTCTGGGAGGAGGCTCCGTGGTATCTGAAGCAGAACATCCAGATTCAGTCACAGTTTTGGTCCATACAGTATTAATTTTGTGAACTCTAAAGCTTCCTCCTTTCATTATGCATTCAAGATGGACAGTGATTAATATTTATATGTTACTTATATGTAAGGTTGTAAGTCTATACATATACATATGTTGTATATAGGATGTTTAAATGTGTGTTATGTATGTGTACACTTTGAGAGCAAGCAAGTAAATTTCATTTTTAATGTGTGCCATTGTGCTCACAGTAAAAAATGATAATAAAGGTTATCTATCTGTCTTCAATAGGATTGCCAACATACTCTGGAGAGAATGTGGTTCCTTTGCAATAAGGTATTTTTGTTCCCATCATGTTGGAGAAGACAACTGAGTGGAGTACTAGACCCAAGCAAATGGCAGAATAGGCGAATCCTAAGATGCAGCAGAACTATTTTTAGTGAAACAGGAAAGTGGGAACCAAATTATACATCAGAGACCAGGAAGAAAGTTGAAAACTGGTGGTGTTCAAGAATAAAGGAATCATTCAGCAAAATCACAGAAACAGATGTAAGTCTTGCAGCAGCAATCAAGATTACATATTTAAAACATATTGTTTTTCTTATCCCAATTACATCATCCCTACATGAAGCCAGTTTGGTGTAGCGGTTAGGGCAACAGATTTGAGAACTAGGAGACTGCGAGTTCTACTCCCTCTTTAGGTACAAACCAGGTGGGTGACCTTGGACCAGTCCTTCTTTCTTAGTCCTAGGAAGGAGGAAATGGCAAACAATTTCCAAATAACCTTGTCAAAAACCCCTACAGGAATTAGTCCAGGCATCCACCAGGAGTTAGCACAAAAACAAACAAAATTAAGACGTATATATGTGAAAATTTATACAGCTGCCCAACTCAATCTCAATATAAAACAATAAAAAGCAATAATTCCCATCCCTCTAGCAACAACAGTCAGTTGTCAAATGGATTCCCCAAGTCCATTGGCAAAACCAGGTCTTCAGGACCTAGCAAAAGATGTCAAAGTTGGGGACAATATTATTTCTTGGGTAATGATGTTCCACGGGGAGGGAGCCACCACAGAAAAGGCTCTTCATGGTCCCACTAGGTCCTTAGGAGGGGGCACCTACAGTATTCCTTGCTTCCCCACTCTGTGGGTCAGCACCACGAGACGACAGTCCTTCAAATAACCTGGCCCCAAGCCATATAGACTTTAAAGCTGACAACCAGTACCTTGAATTGGATCCAGAAGCAAATTGGCAGCCAGTGCAACTCCTGCAGGAGAGGTGACATGTGCACACTTAGGTTTATGCAAAACCATGCGTGCTGCTGAATTTTGAACCAGCTGAAGTTTCCAGATACTTTTCAAGGGCACCTCATGTAGAGCATGTTAAAATAGTCAAGATGAGAGGTGACTAGGGCATGACTGATTGTGAGCAGGGATTGTTGGTCCAGGAAAGTGCATAACTGTTGTCTAAGTTGCAGTTGTGCAAATGCCCTCCTGGCCATGACTGTTACCTGCTTCTTGAGCAGGAATCATGAGTCCAGGAGAACCCCCAGATTATGCACTGGGCTTGTCTGGGGCAGTGCCACCACATCCAAGATCAAAGATGGCAGTTCTCCATGGACCAAAGAACCCTAAACCCAGAGCTATTGCATCTTACCAGAGTTCAGTTTCAGCCCATTGCTCCCCATCCAGCACTTAATACAAAAGAAAGGTCATGGCATTGCTTAACTTACTGTGAGCCAAGACACATAGCTGAGTGTCATCAGAATATTGACAATATCTTAGCTCATAGTGGTGGATGACCTCACCCAATGGTTTCATGTAGATGTTAAACAGAAGCGGAGAAATTACTGAGCCCTGTGGAACCCTGCAAAGTAGGAGGTTTTCCTATCAGCACTGACTGACTTGTTTCCTATCAGCACTGACTGACTGTGACTACAGAGGAAAGAAATGAACCAGGACAACATAGAGGCCCTCCCCAGCCCCTGAAGCTGCTCCAAAAGGATACCATGGTTTAGTATCAAAGGATAATCATTTCCAGAAACCTCAGGAGCTGCTGCACAGCCACCTTCTCAACAACCTTCCCCAGAAAGGACAAAGATTATCCAATAGGATAGAGTCTAGGAATAACTTCTTAAGATGAGGGTGGACCACAGTCTCCTTAAATGCTGGGCAACACCCTCTCCTACAAAGAACATTAATTATTATCAGAACCCACCTGCATGTCACCTCTTGAGAAGCTTTCATAAGATAGGGACATGGATCTAAAATACAGATGGTTTGTACTTAATACTCCTCAGGATCCTGTCCACTTTTCAGGAGCAACAGGATCAAAGTGTTCCCAGATACTTAGGCAAGAACCTGCCCCAGATGCCTCCATTTGACCAGCAACCACACTGGCATTTAAATGGGAACGAATCCAGGCAATTTTGTCTTCCAGAAAATTAGCAAATTCCTCAGTGTATCCCTTCAGGTGGCCTTCTATGTCCTCCTTCCCAAAAAGAGACAGCTCACCTTAAAGAGGGTCTCTGACCAATTATCTGCAGATGCGCTTAGTGCAGAGAATTACTTACACTTTGCTGCCCGAATCACTATGAAGTTGGTTTTAATAGTAACTCTTACCTGTGTTCAATCAAGTTCATCCCTTGTCTTCTGCCAATAGCACACTAGATGTCTCTTCATCTGTTTCATCTCTATCAATTCCTCCGTATACCACAAGGGACAAACAGGTCTATGAATTAGGAGATGCATGGATGCTATCCTATCCAGAGCCTCAATCACCTTCCTATTGCAAGTGGTGACTCTTAGGCAGGGCTACATAGCATATCTTTAGTAATAACCCCCAGTTCCTTCTGAAACCCATCCAAGTTCCTTAGTCACCAATGGGTACAGTTCTGGAGAATGCATCATCAACAATCTGTGATTTGTCCGTGGCAGGGACTAAGATAAGCCCACCAGTTCCCAATCACATAGGCACTGTTCCAACAAGGACACGAAATCAGGTATGTAACCACTATTCCTACTCATCCAGAACCTGGGACAGGCTCATGGAAGTCATAGTTTCCATGAAATCCCAAGCTACCTCTAACTCCACTCCAGATTGAAGTTCCTGAGAACTATAAGCCTGAGGAACTCCACCTACAGCCTGCAGTGAGGTCCAGGAGCCCAGGTGAGGAACTGCCATGTAGCAGGGAGGCTGGTACAGCAAGTTGTACCTACTGTTTAAACTATTTCTGCATTTCATTGCAGTCTTTGGGGCATATCAGTTCTTCCAAACATTATTGCCATCTAGTGTTTTTGTTCTTTAATCTTTTTCTAGTTAGTACATGCAGTACATATGTGTTTCTTTTCTCCAGTGGGATCAGCCAGGATATACAATACATATAGCCTGCACATGCTCTTACACAGTATATTTATTCACTCACTCACAATGCTTATGAATCCCAATAGATCATAAAATAAAATTGCTTATTTCCAAAATCTCAATAAATAAAATTTGACCTTTTGAGAAAGGCATGAGAATCCATTTTATTCTCAAAAAAACTTTATCATGGAAGGTAAAGCATTATGTAACATTTTGTGATCCATAGAAAAGGACAGGAAATCTGTAGTTATTAAAATGTATCTTGGCATAGAAAGTGTAGCTTTCCTTTTAAAACAAGCAGTGTTTAAAAAAAGTATGTAGCTTCTGTTCAAAGTGGGTTTTATTTTTTTTGTTTAGAAATCAAAGCCAAAGTATTACATCTTGTCTATGTTCCCCTATCCTTCTGGAAAACTTCACATGGGCCATGTTCGAGTATACACCATAAGTGACACAGTAGCACGGTTTCAAAAAATGAGAGGATTTCAGGTACGTATTTTAGAATATCCTTCCTTCCTTCCTTCCTTCCTTCTGTCAAATGAGATAAGTTTTCCTATTGATATATAGATAAGGTTAAGGGTTTAGAGAAATTAATTAATTCTGATTAATTTAGGGAAAATCTTCTGTATATAACAGCTATTACATAAATGATGATAAAGCATATCAATGTTAGTTGTAAATCTGGAGAGTTGATCCCAATGCATTAGTAGTACACTAAGTCATCCTCCCAACCAAGAAGGACATAGAGACACTAAAGCAGGACTCCCCCACCCCCAGGCTGAGGCCCACTACCAGACCTTGAGCTGTTCAGAAGTGGAAAAGGGAAGTGGCAGGAGAGTGTTCGCATGAACATCCCAACTTGCACAAATAGCGGGTGAGCATGTGTGTGTTCCATTTGTGTGAGCAGAGGGCGAGCTTGAGCAAATGGAGGGGTGCACACGCACTTGCCTGCCACTAATATAACACCATTCCCTCTTCGCCCCCCCCCACCAGTCAACAAAGCTGGAGAAGTTGAGGAACTCACTAAAGTGTAAATTGTGAGGATCCAAACTGAGCCATTAAAGGAATTAAGGAGTATATTATAAGCAGGTCTTCATCATTTTTGTTCATGATTGCTTGTGGAGTTGTCTTTTGTTTTGATAACTTCCATTTTCCAGTTTTTCGGTATTCGAGCTTCCTTTCTGTTCTCTGTGCATGTTATGAAAATCTGTTTTTCTGCCTATATGATATAACTTTGATGTGCGGTACAATCTTAAAATATTTTTAAAAATGTTTACACTGCCTCTGTACAAGGTTGCATTGGAAAACTTGGTTCTTATAGAATCATAGGTCTAGAACAGATCTTGGAAGTTTTTTAGCCCAAAGTAGGAGTCCTTATACCAAAAAATAGTATCCAATTTTTTCTTGAAATCCTTCAGCGATGGAGCATCCACAATTCCAGGAGCCCAGCTGTCCCATTGATTAATCATTCTTACTGTCAGGAAATTCATCCTTATTTTCAGGTTGAATTGCCCCTGATGAGCTTCCATCCATTACTTCTTGTCAAGAATAAATCAACGCCCTCTTTCTTATGGCAGTCATTCAAGTATTGGAAGACTGCTATCATGTCTCTCCTGAAGCTTCTCTTCATTAGCTAAACATACCTACTTCCCTTAGCTGTTCAACATATGATTTAACTCCAAGAACCTTTGACAAAAAAATTTTTGTCTTATATGATAGCTGGGTTGGAAGGTTGTTGCAGAAAAAGTTTTTGTTTGCTATTAAGAAAAGCCTGTCTATACTGCAGACTCCTTCCCCCACTTTCATTATTAACAATATACTTTTATTGAGATGGATTTTGCCATTTGTGTATTTTACAAAAAAGCCACATCTACTATCAGATGCGGCTGTTAACTAGAATGTTTTCATAGATTTTATTTAATATATTAACTACATTTTTGAGCTTTGATTCAAATTCAGTAGTTTTACATAATATACCAAAATAGCAAAGAGCAAATTATTCAGAAACTGGAGAACCAGTGGGAGTATCCATATGTCATAGTCCATATTTGTATTTCTCTCTTCCTTCTCTCATTACAAGAAATGGCTCTCTAATTATGCCATGATATTTTTTTTTAATTTGAGGCTATCCTTACTAATTCCTTTTTCTCCCCTTTTCACTGCTCTTATTCAAGCTTGGTTTTGCATTTTTTTTTTAATACTGGCCAATTTCTACAACTTCAGAAAAGTGCATTTTCATAAGCACCTTTAGAATCTATTCACAGCCTAGAGTGTAGAGACAATGGAATTGAAGCAAGGATTTTCCTGAATGTAGTTTGAAGGGTACATTAGTCACCATGGTGACACAAAAATACATCTGTTACTGAGATTAATCTATGGATAATTGACAGTGGACCTGAAACTGTTTACACTAATTTTATCTCACAATATATTTATCTTACAGTAATAACCAAATCTCTCTACACTGCATTCACTAGTGAATTTTTTTTAAAAGAAATGTTTCCTGAAAGTCCATTTTAAATTACTGTACATTTGGGCACAGTTAATTAATCAGCTTTTTAAAATTGCCATGCCTTCGTTCTCCCACATATCAGATTAAGAGAATGATATTTTCTGTCCTGTTGCCTGGCTCTATGGAGTTAATAGAAGTGCCTTGCATTGCTCATGATAAGATAAAAAGAAATCAAAATTGCATAGTATAGAAGCTTTAATAATATCCACAAGTTTTACCATTTAAACTCTACCATTTAAATTTCTCAATCTAAGCAGTTTTAGAATAGATGAATTTTAACTCTCAGAATTCATAATATAAAAATATTTTAGACTCTGAAATAATTAAGGGTCTGGAAGGAGCATATAAAGTAATTTTGATAAATGAGCAGGTAGCTGATAGAAAATACAAGAAGGTTTTTTAATTTTTTTAATATGAAACCCTTACAGAGATATATAGAATTATTAGTACTTCCATGCAAAACGTAAGGCTTAAAAGTAACTGGAACAGATGTAATCAAATGCACATGATTAAAAAAGCAAAATGGGAAATGATTGTTTCATTTTTATATAGTAATTTTATTAAAAATGACTACTAAAAATTAATACAAACTTTTAAAAAAGTAGAAAATGCAAAGAGAAAGAAATAGACAAATAGAAAAGAAAGAAAAAATAATATTATTAAGAAAAAGAAAAAAGATAAATAATTTCTCCCTCTCAATCCAGCTATCTACAGCATCTTCCCCTGAGTTTTCACTATCCCTCTGGAGTTTGCCAGATGGGGCGTAGGGGCACATCTGAGACATTCTGATCTCTAATGCAAAATTTTATTGAGCACAGCATATCGGCATTAATGAATGGAAAACCAGCTCTGGAAATATGGCACCAGAAAGATAATTAAAAGAGTAAAACTTTCCCTCCCCTCTTTGACAGTTCAGGTCACATTGTCCAATTAGTCTTCAGGCAGTGATTATGAGAAGAATCTCTTTGCTCGCCCTAACATCTCTTCTGCGACCTTGCTTCCCATACGGAGAGAAACCACCTGTGCATTCAATACGTTTTCCTCCCCCCTTGGATCTGTTGGCAAGCTAGAAGCGGCATGGCTGTTCCAGCACAAGCAGTCTTCATAGCTTGACACTATGTTTGTAACTTATCACTTTCTCAGTGAGCTCTTCTTCCAATACCCTATATCTTATGTATAAACAAATACTTAAAACTTCCTTTCAGTCCTGATGTCACAAAAATGTATGGACTTTTCTAAAAAGAAAACATTTAAAAATCTATATTTACATTCTATAATCTAAAAGAAAGATTATAAGAGATAATAGCATATTAACACTGATCAAATAAACCAAATCCTTCCTTTTACTTTAATAGTCTTGGTCTTTAAACTCTTAAAATAATGTCCTAGAGCAGTGATGGCGAACCTTTTAGAGACGGAGTGCCGAAACTGCAACCCAAAACCCACTTATGCATCATTGAGTGCCGAGTGGGTGTGGCCCATTGGGTGGGTGTGGCCCATTGGGTGGGTGTGGCCAATTGAGTGGGCGTGGCTGCAGTGGTAACGGCAGACTGGGTGGGACTAAAAAGTTCAATCAATCAATTTCAACTTTGCAAGATCTTTTTTTTTCCCACGAGAAGTTGAAATTGACTGATTGAACCCCTTTTTTTTTTGCACACGGTGGCGGAGGCCTAAAGCGAAAAGGTTTTATAAAATCCAGTTGAAGGCCTAGGACTGGGGCAAAGGCCTAGGACTGGGGCAGAGGGCTCTGACTGCCGCCTCTAGCACCCGTGCCATAGGTTCGCCACCACTGTCCTAGAGCTTGATTTCTTTTCATTTTTTTCTTTATCCCCTTTCAAAAGGGACAGATTGTCAAACTTCTTCAGAGCTTTAACAAACCTTTTTAATAAATCCAATATAAGAAACTTGTCCAGGTCACTCTTTTGATTTGTTACTTGTATATCCTTTTGTTATTTATTTATATTATGTTCATCGCACAGTCAGCTAGATATTCAGACTGGATTTGGCATTTTTGTCTACCATTTCAAATCCTTTCTAAGGGCCTGGGATAGGCAGATCTGGATGTTTGATGGTGTTACAGATATCGTTGCAGGATGTAAGCTGTTCCGAATAAAGCTATCTTTTGCAATTGACTGATGGTGAATTTGTCAGTGCCGATGGTATCCAAGTGATGCTCCAGATGTTTTGGGATTGTACCCAAGGCACCTAGTACAATTGATACTATTTTTGCTTGCTTTAACCACAGTCATTCTATTTCTATTTGCAGGTCCTTGCATTTTGTTATCAGCTCTAGTTCTTTCTCTTCTAGTCTGCTGTCTCCAGGATCTGCTACATCCACTGTCCATTTTTTTTGCTTTTTCTTATTGACATTTGTTAAATCTGGGGTTTTATGTGATAGGTGCTTGTCTGTTTGTATTCTAAATTGTCTCAATTTAACTTCTTCATTTTGTATAACTTTCTCTATTTTATGGTGCCACCTGTTCTTGTTTGCAGTCAAATGATATTTCTTGCAGATCTTCCAGTGCACTATTGTTGCTACTTTGTCATGCCGTTGCTTGTATTCGGTCTGAGTGGTCTTCTTGCAGCAGCAGCTAACCAGGTGGTCTACTGTTTCTTCAGCTTACAGAGCTTTACAGAGACGGTATTTGCTATTTGTTGCGGGCTTCTCAATTCTGGCTTTCATTGCATTTGTTCTTAAGACTTGGTCTGGTGCAGCCGGAATTAGCCCCTCTGTCTCTGAAACTGGTAAAAACTTAACAGTTCAAGTCGTAACCAAGAATCTAAAAGCTGTTAAGGTAACGTCTAAGTATTTAGGCGGTTCTTAACCTGTTCATTTTCAGGAACTTTGTCAATTTGGTGTTCTCAATAATTTTTGCTGCATTTGAACCAAAACTTTTGGCAAAGCTTCCAATGTATGATTTTGGCAACTCGATCATGACATTGTACATAATCAGTCTGTGAGAATTTGCTGCAGCCA